GGAATAAGCTAGATTTTTCAGAAACTATTTGGGGTAGAAAAAATATATATTGAGACCAAAATGGTGTAGTATTTAAAGCCTATTAATAAATTTTGCTATAGAAAATGTATGCTGATTGTCACCTTCTCTTGCCTACACCTGACCTGACAATCTGGCTTTTGTAGGTTTTTGTCCATGGTTTCTAAGATCTCCCAACTTTGATACACTTTCCCCTACATATTTGGTCACCAGATACCCCAACTGCACACCAGATACCCCAACTGCACACACCAAAACAAATACAAACCAGTGCTTTTTATAATTATGTTGCAGGAAGGTTTTATGCTCTTTAGATGTTAGATTTTTGTTATCAGCTAGGTCATCTTTAATGTTGGTTTCTTCCTTAGGCTGCGTACATTTCTCCTAAATCGTACTGATATCTCTGTTACTGTAGAATATTAGACAGGCTGTCATGGTTGTCACCTGTTCCTAACCTGGTGTTACTGATAACCTTGAGATTTTATCAGTGTCTGTGGTCTCGTCGTCAATCCTCTCTAGAGGTTTCTCTCACTGATTATTTTGCAATATTCTTTTATTAGACTTGACTGCAGCAGTTCCAGAAACAGAGCGCCTGGACTCAAAAGCGCTGAAAACTCGAGCCCAGCTCTCCGTAAAGAACAAACGCCAGAAGCCCACTAGGCCTAGACTCTACGATAGTGTCAGTTCCACAGAAGGGGAGGACAGTGTAGAGCGAAAGGTGAGCATTCTCGACCATTTTCTGACTCATGATGTTGGGCTGTATCATTGTTCTTACAGCTTATTGAAGATGATTTTTCTGCAGCCAGAGTCTATGCCCTAGTTGGAAACAGCTGGAATAGTCCACGTCTTTGTCTCCTGAATTCTTTACATTGTTGTAATTCAAGATCTTTTCTCTACTTATTCAATGAATTAACCAAGAGTATTATCCATACTGTCATATTTTATGATGATGCTTTTGATATTCGGGTGTAGGTTTTACTTAGTGGGAAATAATCAATGTACAAGTAATTGTTTCTATAGGTCTTAGGTATCTGTGTTAGTGATTACAATGTTAATATGGCGAGTTGCTGTGAACTATGCATTCTCATCTGTAAAACAAAAAACAAAAACTCGTTTTCATGGGGATACACTAAAAAAAAAAAAAAGGTCAGTCTTATTTCAAAGTAAGTATTGCATAGAACTGATACTCAATGGCATAACCTCCTTTATAATCTCTTATACCAACAGCCTTCAAACAGTTTCTATAACCACATGCACATTACCAAATCACTTCCACCCAAGGGTTTGAGAACTTCTTCTTCCGACTCAGATTCTGGTGGTCCACCCCTCACCCCAGTGGCTAGCAATGTGCCCTTCTCGTCTGATCACATTGCTAAGTTTCAAGAAGGACCACTGTACCCAGAAAGGGAGACTTTCTCCTCTCTTTGGGGAGACACTTCATTCTTTTCTCCTTCAAAATCTGATCATGATGCAGAAGAATCTCCTTGCCACCATCAAGCCACTGACACGAAAATACAACAAGAAAAAGGTATTGTTAATTTCTTTGTTGTTTTGTTTTTGCTTTGTCTGACTTCGCTAACACCTCAATTTGTGCAATGTAAAAATGGCTTTTTCTCATAATCATAAATCCTTTGTCTTCTCACAGCTAATCCTTTTGTATTATGGGATAAGCAAAACAACCCCTCCATGTATTTTATTTTATTTTATTTTATTTTTATCCTTTTCTACCTGGTTTAGTATTTTTATCTCTTCAGC